TTAAAGGACACTATCTTCTTAATGAGGCACAATTTAAAGAATCATAAACCCCTAAGTACAGTTGGTCATAGTGTCCACATCATGCATTGGTTTAATCCACGTAAGCAGAGCACGCGATGGGTTTGTAACCCAGTAGGAAGGAGTTTCTGTGTCTAGTGCACTTAAGGCTGGTCTGAGACGGCAGTGGGGGGGTCAGCAGACCCTCCCCAAGAAGCCCACCTTCCCTCCTCCTCACCTCATCTTTTGGCAGCAACTTCGACAGCAAGATGCCTCAGGAATGGACTCGGAGGAGAAAGAGGAGATGGACAACATTGAGGGTGAGCCCTGGAACCCTAGATCTCTGCCTGGGCCCCCCCTCTCCCCCCCCTCGTGTGCCCCCAGATGGCTGGCTCCCCTGCCCACTGCACCTCTTTCTCCCGCCCACGGGCCCACACGGCTGCAGCAGCCAAGGGCAGCTGTCATCAGGCATCCCTGGCTCTGGCAAGCACGCCTGGGCTGGTCCAGAGTGGCTTTCACTCTGACCGGCTCAGCAACCACAGAGATGGACAGACATTTAGAGCCACAGAACCTACAAGCTGGAAGGGACCTCAGAGCTCCTCTTTCCCAGCATTTTCCAGACTTTTCCACGGAACAGTGTTAATGGACATTCCGGAGGGAAAAGAGAGTTCTGTGGTTCAATGTGAAAAGTAAGTCTTTTGGTGCAGGACTTCTCAGTGCCGTTAATATACAAACATTACCATAAATCTCTAAAAGGAAGATATGAAATATTTCCCCAACACATTTGACCATGCTGCCCTTCTTCCAAAAGCCTTACAAGAACACCTACACCTGGTGTTCCACTGAATGCCTTTTGGGAAATGCTGACGTGCAACAACCCTCATAATGTTACAGACGAGCAGACTGAGTTCCAGAGAGGAAAGCGAGCACCTCCCATGCCCTGCTCTGTCACAGGGCATGACAGCAGTCTCTGTACACACTCCCTGGGTGAGCTTACTGGGCACCCGCCCCCGCCTGAGGCGGGCACGCCAGGGAGTACTGTCTACATTTCACAGATGAGTACACAGAGACCGGCCAAGTGAAATTACTAAGTAAATTAGTAGCGAGCTGGATCTCCACCCAGGCCTTCCTGCTCCATCGTTTCTGCCCCGAACTGAGCAGGCCTCCTCCTCTGTTTCCGGCCAGGCCTGAAGGGGCCGATGAAGGGCAAGGAGAAGGCAAAGGCTGCCAAGGAGGAGAAGAAGAAGAGAACCCAGAGTCCCGGGCCTGGCCAGGGGCCTGAGGCCCCCGAGAAGAAGAAATCCAAGATTGACGAGCTCAAGGTGAGGGTGTGGGGCAGACCCTGCCAGGGGTGCGGGGTCACCCCTGAGGGCAGGAGGTGGCAGATGGGACAAGAGGGAGGCAGGTGGACAGGCCTCGTCCCCCTGACGGCTCAGCCTGGCTCAGGTGTACCCCAAGGAGCTGGAGGCGGAGTTCGACCACTTCGAGGACTGGCTGCACACCTTCAACCTGCTTCGAGGCAAGACGGGCGATGACGAAGATGGCTCCACCGAGGAGGAGCGCATCGTCGGCCGGTTCAAGGTCAGGCGAGGAGCCCCAGGCCCTGAACCCTGAGCCCCCTGCCACCCCTACCACCACACCAGCCTGAGCTCAAGGCTGACAGTCACGTGGAACTGTCAGCAGCACTGGTTGGTAAAATATGAAAAGACTTCTGTGCTAACTGATAAAGAGCATCTGCCCCAAGGGCCTCTCCAAGTTGGTTACTTTATCCCCCTCCCTGCCACTGCCCTGGCCACTTCCTCCAGAACCCCTGGTCCTCCCA